GTGTTCTACCTCCTGTTGGGGCTCCACCAGGTGGTCTTTCTTCAAGTGTTCTACCTCCGGTTGGGGACCCACCACGTTGGCCCCTGCAGCCTCATGACGTCGTGCTTCTCCTGGGGGCTGAAGTGCAGGATGGTCAGGATGGCGTTGAGCGTCTGCGTCCTGCCGCTGGCGTCCTGCAGCGTCAGGAACCTGTAGATGACGTTCTTCAGGTACTCCATGTTGGCGCCCTCTCGGCTCTGGTCCCGGATCAGTTTGTCGAGCCGTCCTCGCAGCTCCGACGCCTCCTCGTCGTGGCGCTCCCCGTTGGCGATGAGCTTGGCCTGCAGCTGGTGGACGTCCTCCTCCAGCCGGTTCTTCTGCCGTCGCAGGCCGCCGACCTCCACCTCCTTCCGGGCGAGCTGCTCGGCGTACAGCAGCAGCGTGGACTCGGTGGGCGTGGCCTGCCGCAGGGCCTGGCTGATGACGTCGCCCTCGCTCTCCGGATCAGCTGCCTGCACGTCGTCGGCCATGTTGTCAGTGTTGTAGCTGCAGGTGAGCACGGCGGCCCGAAGCCTCTCCAGCTCCTGGTCCTTCTCGTCCAGCAGCGCCATGGTCCTCTCTCTCTGTTTGTGTAGCTCCGCCTCCAGGCGCAGCAGCTCATCGCGGTGCAGCGTCTCCGCCCGCTCCACGTCTTGCTTGTGGGCGTGTTGCTGCGCTGCTGCCTGCTGCTGCCGCTCCTCCAGCTGCTGCCGGTGGCGCGCCTCGGCCTCGTCGCTCTGGATGCGCAGGTTGATGTACTTCTCCCTGAGCTCCGACAGCTGGTCCCGGACCTCCTCCAGCTCCTTGGCCTGGCAGCCATCTTTAGCGTTCTTGTTCTTCAGCACCACCTGCGCTCGTAGCTTGTAGCGCTCAAACTCTTCCTTCACCTGGCGAAGCTCCTGCTGGTAAACCAGCGCCGAGGTTCTGTCCTCCGTCTCCGTCTCCGCCAGGTCCTGGATGTTGAGGTCGGGGTTCCTCTGAGACGCCATCAGCAGCAGCTTCTTCACCTTCTGCAGCTTCTCCTTCAACACGCCGACGTCCAGCTGCGACTCGTCCAGACTGAGGTCGATGGACGACCTGCTGGAGGCGGCGATGGCCAGCGTTTTGTTCTCGGTGTCGAGCTGCAGGATGCGATCTCTGAGCCTCTGGGCCGTCTGCTGGTCTCGCTGCTTCGCCTTCTCGCAGGATCCCAGCAGCTCCGACAGCTCCGACACTCGCTGCTCCAGACCGGCGACACGCAGCTCCGCAGCCTGAGCACGCTCACGAGCACGCTCCTCCGCCTCGCACACCTGCAACACAACAACCAGAAGACAGTCACCAGGACTGGTTTAGCTAGTGTTTAGTTAAGCTAGTTAGTGTCATTCTCATGGTCTCGCTGTAGATCTGATGGTTAGTTTAGTTGGTCTGGTTAGCTGCTCTCACCTTCCTGGTCTCGTTGTGGATCTGCTGCTGGAAATGCTCCTTCAGCTCCTTCATCTCCTGCTGCAGCTCATCCACTCTGGGATCTGGTTTCTTCTGGTCGTCCTCGGCGGCCTGCAGCCTCCTCCTCAGCTCGTCTCGCTCCTCCCTCACCTGGCTCAGGTGTGCCTCGGACTCCGCCCCCCGGTCCACGGCCTGTGATGTCACGAGGAGGGCGGTGCTTGCGTCCTGCAGGCGCAGCTCTGCGTCCTGTCGCAGGTCTCTCTCCTGCTGCAGGATGCGCTGCAGCTCTCGCAGCTGCTGGACGTGGTCTCCCTGCTCCTGCTCCCTCTCGTGCTGCTGCGTGATGATGCGAGCGCGACTCTCGGCCACCTGCTGCTGCAGAGCGCTCAGCTCCGCCTCCTGCTGTGATGTCACGACGACCAGCCGCTCCTGCAGGTCCTCCACTTCCTGCTTCAGCTGACGCTTGTCGGCCAGGAAGTTCGCCTCCATCCGGGACTTCTCCTGCGTCACCGTGGCCAGAGCGTTGGTGAGCGTGCTCAGTTGGCTCTTCAGCTGGGCAACTCGGCGGTCCGCCTCCACACTGGGAGGGGGCGTGGCCTGCTGCTGCTCCGCCCCCACGCAGCTGCTCTCAGAGCTGCTGGCGTCAGGCTGCAGAACAAACGTCAGCATGTTAAACTGCTGCAGTTACTTTTATTTGACTCCGTCACCCTCAAATAAAGCGATAAAGGCAGCAGCAGCATTTCCTGCTCCTATCTAACAAACACGCTTCCTTATTGTCTTTGTTACGTATTTTTCTAGTTGCCGTGGAAACAGACCCTGACGACACCATCAGCTCGCTGACTGTAACTTGTAGAACGTACCGTTGAGCTGGACCTTCCTCCCGGTTCTGTCTGGTCCTCCTCACTCTGGTCCCCCTTGGCGGTCTCACTCGGCGTGTCCACCGACGCCGCTGTGTCCACGCTGTCCTCGCTGTGCAGCGAGCAGCCGTCCTCCGGGAGGTCTGGGGCGTCCTGGCCCTGCTGGTTCTGGTCCACGTCCTGGGTCACCGTCAGGACCTTCAGACTGGCCTCTAGAGCCTCCTTCTCCTTCAGGAGACTCTTGTAGGCCTGGACCACATCCTTGAAGCGGGTCTGGTACTGGACCAGCTGCTTCTTCTGGGACTCGATGGTGTCCAGCAGCTCCTTCCTGCCGGGTCCGCCCCCAAAACTCATCCCAAACTTCTCCATGGCTCTGCTGGTCCACTGGAGTCAGATCAGACTAGATCCACCATCACCAGGGTCAGAACCGTTCCTCTGGGTCTTGTGGAGGTTTGCTGGTCCTGAAAGGAACCAGACTTCATCAGGAACCTTTATGGATGAGTGATCAATAACTACGACCACAGAACTGATCACTGCTGTTGCCTCCAATGAAATCAGTCACAGTTGAAATTATTCCCTAATTTATTAGTTTATTGATCAACAGACGGACAGCGAGGATCAGCTGGTTGGTACATGTTGATCACGTATTGATTATTGATTCTTCCTGTTTAACGCTTTGTTTTGTGACTTTCTTTCACAGGAAAGTCTTTCAGTTTTAAAATAACTGAAGTTTGTGTTGAAGCAGCTTCACGTGAAAACACTGATCGACTCAAAACAGGGAAACTCAGAATATAAATTCACTTTTAAAGAACAAATACACAAAAATACAGGAAGTACATCAGAACACAACAGATGGCTTCAGAGCTTCAGAGCTTCTGTGTTTCTCTCTGAGTGTAAATCTGACTTCAGCTCATTAATTTGACTTTATTTAGCTTCTCAGCTGATTATTTTGGCAGTTTTGAGCTTAGATGTTTGATAAATGTTGGTTTTTTTCTGTGTTGAACTCAGTTGGAAGCTGTCAGACTGAATCAGCTGGAAGTCACTGAGCCACAGCTTTGATCGGTTCTTACCTGATAATCAGCTGACTGACGAACGAGCCGCGGACTGGAACCAAACCCAGAAATACCTGGAATCGGTCCACGTCGAACCCGGAAACACAAAACCTGCAAATGTGAAACGTTTCGATACAAAATCCTCCTCAGTGTTTCATCTGTCAACAGCCGCCATGTTGGACTGAGCCGGACGTGGAAGAGCAGGAGGAGGCGGGGCTTCGGTGCTGCGTTCAGGGACGTCAGGAAAAAAATCAATAGATAAATGACTATTAGACTTACTGTTATGAGCAGAAACAACAATTAGATACAACAAACAAATAACACAATAATATCGTAAAATACGTTATTATGTGCAAAACAAATTTTATTTTTAACACAAGTTTCTTTACAGGACAAGAATAATTAAAAGACAGTAAAAAGAAAATCTCCTGCAAACGTGATTTTATAAATTAGTCAATAAAAAGAAATGCTGTCATAAATAAATAAAAGCAGCGAGGAAACAGCAGAGACGGAATAGATAAAAAGTTTTTGTTTGTTTTTTTTTAAAGAAGAGGGAAAATTAAATAAATAAAACATTTATGACTTTAATTGTTATTGATAATATTAAATAGATTGATAAATAAAGTTGATTCAAAACAATAATAATAACTTTATAGTTAACAAAGTCAACTTTATAATAAAACAGCTCAATTCAATAAATGAAATTAATTCTAAAAATTATAGATTATATCTTTTCAATTTGTTTTAAACATTATGTCCCCAAAAATACTGCATTATTAATGAACAATAAAGACGAGTAAAAACAATAGTGATAATAACTCGTGAGAAATGCAGTATTTATTGTTGGTTTTTCAGTAAAGTTGATTGTTTGGGTTGAAAAATTTTTTTAAATTAATGGTAATTTTATTTTAATTTTATTTTGTACAAGGTTTAGAAACAATAAAGACTGGAAACCATTTAAAAAATGAATATATTGCCAAACATTGTTTTAATCTCTTGAATGCATTTTGTCACCAACATGTAAACCTTCAATCTTTAAATATTTAATCTGTGTTGAAAGAATTTGTGCAAATCAATCTCCTGAGAATGTGCAGTGTTACATGGTGCCATGTAAACAACGTATAAACTGATAAATATAACCGTTAATCTTCTGTTAACGCTTTATAAATAAATATTAAACCCGTACAGCCTGTCAGACTGAAGATTAAAGCTGTAATCTACAGGGTTTCCAGGGGACCTAAACGCAGCATTGTGCACCGCGCTGCCAATAAAGTTTTGTTCAAAGCAGTGACGTAAATTATTCCGCGTTGGCCTGGACGTGGCACCGAGGAGGAGCCGCCGTTCTCCGCCTGTTTTCTCCGCTCGTCTACCCGCTGTTCTCCGCCCGTTCTCCGGCTCCGACCAGCAGCTTCCCCCGGACCGACCGGCCGACTCTCCCCGCCAGGTGTTGCCTAACCGCCCGGGACTCTCGCTGAAGATGGGTCTGACCATCTCGTCTCTGTTCTCCAAGCTCTTCGGGAAGAAGCAGATGAGGATACTGATGGGTGAGCGCCGAGGCTAAGCTAACTAGCTGCGAGCTAACCGGCCGAGCACCGGCGGCGGGATGAAAACCCGCTCCGCTGCCCGAGTGAAATGTTAAAACAGAATAATTTAACTTTATTGGAGGTTGTAACGTCCGGCTGGAGTGAAGTCTAACTCTAAATTTAACTGCAAATGTTAAAAGCATCCGCTAACAGCGCTAGCCGCCTGTGCTAGCGCTGGGAGGTAACGGTCAGGTAACGGTCGGAAACCGTTTTAATGTGTTCACGTGAAGCTTCACCGGCAGCCACGTCTAATCCGGTCTCTGTGCCTCCGCAGTCGGTTTGGACGCAGCCGGTAAAACCACGATCCTGTACAAGCTGAAGCTCGGAGAGATCGTCACCACCATCCCAACTATCGGTGAGTAATCGATCATCGATCGGCAGGTGAGCCCGCGTGTCCAGGTGACAGCGGCGTCCCCCCGTCAGACAGGTGAGCGGAGAGCTGAGTCAGCGGCCGGCGGGGTCACGTGACCGACCTCAGCGATCGATTAGTGTAGCTGTCAGATGTTGACACACAGGAAGTGATCAGTGTGTTGTTGTGTGACTATTTGTTGTTGTTTTGTGTGTATTTGTGGTCATTTTGTGTTGTTTTGTGTTTTGTTTTGTTTTTTTTACCAGATTGTGGTCGTTTTGTGTCTCTTTGTGAATGTTTATGTCTGTTTGCTGTAGTTTTTTGTCTCTTTGTGGTGAATTTCTGTGTCTTTGTGGTTGTTTTGTGTCTCGTTGTGTTGGTGGACGTAAGCCTGTGTGTTTCTGAACTTGTCACTCGGTGATGTTCCAGCTCTCCTGGTTTCATTCTCTCGTCTTCCCAAACAAACACAACCTTTGTGTCTGATTTGTCAGAACCTTCATCTCATTTTTCTGTGTTTCCACTCATCCAGCAGCTTCTGAACTCGTCTGTAGATCAGTGAAATCAATCCTCGGTTTTCATCGCTCAGTGACTTCAGAAAGCGTTCCTAATGTTCCTGCTGTCTGCGTTCAGACTGAAGCACCTGTTTCCACCTGGTCCGTGTTCTTATCAGTCTCTGGTTTCACTTTTATCACGAGACACATCAGCGGCCTGCCGGGATCAGTCCACTGTGGCAGCAGGAAGCTGTGAAGCTCCAACAGCTGATGGAGGCCGTTTGACTTGTTTAACATTTACTGAACATTTACTGGGAGAGAGAAGCAGAAGAGTTTTAAAAGTTTGGTTATTTTGTTTTTAACAGAATGAACTGAGATCTGGGTCTGTTTTTATTTATGGGCTGCAGCAGTAGCCCGGATCTGTTGTGTACAACAGATTAGTTTTGTGTATTTAATGTCACAAAATGTCTGAGTTGAGTTTTCCTTCACATAGACAGACGTTTCCACCACAAGTTAAACAGCTGAACAGAGAACGCAGGAGATTCACTGTTTGAGTTTAAGGTTTTAAACTAAAGTTGTGTTTCAGTGTTTGAACCGTTTTGTGTCTGATTTCAAACTGGTTGGTGTTCGTGTCGCAGGTTTTAACGTGGAGACGGTGGAGTACAAGAACATCTGCTTCACAGTCTGGGACGTCGGCGGTCAGGACAAGATCAGGCCTCTGTGGAGACACTACTTCCAGAACACACAGGTACAGAACCAGAACACAGGAAACCTGCAGAACTCAGGTTCTGTGGGACTCGTAGGACACAAACAGCTGCTACTGTGTTGATGTTATTGGCGATCAATAACCTGCCGCTCCGTTCAGGGTCTGATCTTCGTGGTGGACAGCAACGACAGAGAGAGAGTAGCAGAGTCGGCAGAGGAGCTCGGCAAGATGGTGAGGAACACCTTCCGGGCTTTTAATCTGTGACATGGTTCAGGTGATTTGGCTCCGCCCACTGAGGTCACATGACTCCCTCTCTCCCCGCAGGTCCAGGAGGACGAGCTGAAGGAGGCGGTGCTTCTGGTGTTCGCCAACAAACAGGATCTTCCCAACGCCATGGGAGTCAGCGAGCTCACCGACAAACTGGGTCTGCACAGCATGCGCAGCAGAACCGTAAGATCAATAATCAATCAATACGTCTGCATGTAGCGCACACGGAGAGACGGACTGAGGCTGTGCAGCAGGATCAATAACCATCGATAGATCAATAGAACACAAGCCAGTTGACCTGCTGCTGGAGAATCAGATCAAACAGTTTAGTGTGATCACTTTTATTATAGATATTGATCAGTTTATGATCAGTTTCATAATCAGACTGATTGGTTTCTGATCAATTTCTGGTCGGATTGATCAGTTACGTCATCAGGTTGCTCAGGTTCTGATTGATCGCAGCTCTCACCTGCTGTGTCGTCGCTGGTTTCTGATCAGTTTGATCACTTTCTGACCAGATTTCTCATCAGTTTAAGTTTGGAAGCAAATTGATCAGTTTATGACCAGATTATTGATCACATTGATCAGTTTTATAATCGGATTGAGTAGCTTCTGATCAGTCTCAGTTTGTTATCGCACTGATCGGTTTGATCGATCAGGGCTCTGACCGTGTTGTTGTTTATTTTAGATCAGTTTTCTAATGATTGATCGGTTTGATTGATCTCTGTGTCCTCGTTGTGTTGCAGTGGCACGTCCAGGCCACCTGTGCCACTCAGGGTACAGGTCTTTACGAGGGTCTGGACTGGTTGTCCAACGAGCTGTCGAAACGCTAAACCACCTGACAGGAAGCAGGAAGCAGCAGACTGATGTCACCGACTGATGTCACCGACTGATGTCACCGTGTACAAACGGAGGGGGAGGAGCTTCACAGGACTGTTTGGTTTCTTCTTTTTTTTTAAATTATAAATGTGTGTCTGTAGGAGGAAGTGATGTCATGGACTCTGAGCTCACCTTGATTTCCCATCATCCTCTTCTTCTTCTTCTTTTTCTGTTCTTCCTGCAGGTTTTTGGGGGTTTTTTTCTTTTAATCCGCATGTTTTAACTCATGTGACAGGATGTTGTGGAAGAGGAGGGGCGGGGCTTACAGCAGGTGACAGTCACCTGGGGGGCCAGGTGGGCGGAGTTTATGGCAGGTGCCCGTTACCTGGAGGTCAGGGGGCGGGGTTAATGGCAGGTGACAGTCACCTGGTCGTGTGATGACTCATTCCACAGAGCCGAGCCTGTCGGCCTCGTCATTCCTTATTAATGTGAAGAAGAAGAAACGCAGCGACAACGATGATGCAATAAAGGTTTTTTTTTTCTTCTCACGTGTTTCTGAAGTTTGTTCTGAATTTATTCAAAGTTTATTTACAGGTTAGGATCTTTATTTTGCTCAAAATGCTTCTGAAATGTGGTTGAAATGTTCTAAACTTATTTGAATTAGATTTAAATGTGTTTATGTGAAATTCTCCCTAAATTTATATTATTTTAAATGTATTCTACAAATATTCTAAACTTATTTAAATAAGCTTTAAATGTATTGAAAACTCCTCATTTTTTTTCTAAATATGTTCTAAATTTATTTGTTTTTAGTTTATTGTAAATTCCAGATTATTTACTGTGTTTTTCTGCCGCTTTCAGCTTTTAATTATTTTCATAATGAACGTTTTCTTCTGGAGTTTCTCATGTTGCCGCCAGACGTTTTGTTTTTATGAGGAATTATTCACTTTTCTACTTATTTCCTAAACTGATCTTGTTTCAATGTGGCGGCTGGTTGGTTCGGAGATGTTTTGTTTAGGTTTTCAAATCGTTTAAAACCTCGTTAAACATCTAAAGTCTCATTAAAACGAAGACGCTTGAAACGTTTCCTCGTGACTTTGAGCTAAATGTCACGAGATGCTTCTGTTTGTACTGAGAACTTTAAATTAGTTTTTCCATGAAATCCTGAAACTACTAAATTATTGAAGTTATGTTATCAGTTAATATGTAAGTTTGTATTATTTTTTCTAACCTTTTATTAGATCCGAGATCAAAAAGATTTGATCAATCAGGATTAAATTTAAAACACTGATCAGCTGAAACGACAAAAGATTCAAATAATTTTATTTTACAGAAAAAGCAAACGCAAACATCCTAGTGTCAAACAAACTGCAGTCACACCTTCATCTTCATCACCACCTGACCTCCACCTGTCCGTCCTCACACACTGATTGGTTCGTGCTGGTTGTTGTGACGTTTCACCACAAACACCTTCTGACCAGAAACTGTCACCGTGTAGACGAAGTCCTCCAGAATCACTGAGGACACACAAGACAGGTGAGTCCAGGTGAGTCACCTCCACACTGCGCTTTCAGATCGATCAGTTTCCTATCAGGCATCGATCGTTGCGTCCATACCTGACATCCGTTTGAAGGGCGGATCAGCTGACCCCGGTAACCTGAAGCGACTCGCCGTCCGGACCATCTGCATCATCACACCTGCTGTGTGCTCGTCGTTCTCCAGCTCACCTGCAGACTGGACAGGTGAGAGCAGGCTGATCAGACTGGTCATCAATAATTCTGTTTCTGTTGTATGTTTATTTAAAGTCTCACATGCAAAGAGTGTTTTAGGAGGAACAAACCAAACCTCAATAAAAGAATCGCCAGTTTTTACATTTTCTACTGTTGATTCTTTGCAGAAGTTCACAATAATGAAAACTAATTAAAATCACGTTGAACTGATGTCATATCATTGTAGTAATATCTGATAACAGATTTCTGAATCCAGCCACTAAATTAAATGTTTTCAGTTTAGTAGGTTACAGTTAACAGGAATCTAAATGTGAATGTAGTTTGGTGCTCCTGTATATTAATGCCAACTTTATCCACCCTGACGTGACTTAACCAAAACACCAGACTACATTCACAAACCGCGCAATTTAATCCCTTGACAACTTAACTGAAGATTTTAAAACGGAAGCAAACAAGCTGGGAGTAAATATTAACTGGTATTTAAAGGGACGTGGGAATGAACACCAAACTGCATTCAGAAATCGAGCATTTTAAGGTTTTCTTTACTGTTACTTAGTTCTGTTATCCGAGTGTTAAAATGAGCAGTAATGAGAAGCTTTATGTCAATGCGGTTCATGAATAACGCGGAATAACCCAGCAGGTCCAACCAAAACAGAAAATGTTCCGACTGTTGGTGCACTGACTGAATCTTAAATAGGATTAACGTGAATGTTAAATCTGCAGAAATGTGAATGGAGTTTGGCGCGCTGCTGTTTCCAGGTGACACTCACGGCCAGAACTCCGTCCTCACTGATAACCAGGTAGCCGAGCTGATCCGGGATCCGCTCCAGACCCGCAGTGAGCGCAGCGGTGGTCTGAAACAGGAGGAGGGCAGGTGAGCTAACAGGCTAACAGGCTAACCAGCGTCACTAAACTCTACACGTGTGAAGTTTGAGTTCCCTGAACGTCACACGGTTGAAATGAACGCAATAAAAACTTAATAAAAGTCAAAAATAAAAGTTTAAACCGTCAAACTCACCATCTTTCTTCCTCTTCTGTTCCTACAAACTGCAGCTCTGCACCATTTCCTGTTTCTGCTGGATTTTTCACGTGACTGCTGAGGCCTTCAAGTGCTGTCGGACAAAACATTAAATTCCTATTAAAAATACCTCAAACTGGTGTGTTAGCGGCAGATTTAACTTCTGTTAAACGAGTTCAGAGAACAAACAGCTAAAACACCTAAAAACAGAAGACTATTGAATGGAGGCTGGTGTCAGTTTGATCTCAGCAGGCAGAGAGGCTGGACCCAAACACATCACACCAGACTCCATTCAGATTTTAGCAAATTAAAATTAATGTTAATTTTCGGATAATATCGTCATCGATTGTTCATAGGTTTGCTGAAATGTTTTATTTAGGTCACATTTGTTGCTTTTTGATTATTTTTGTTCTAGTCTGAGAGTAAACACCCGGGATTACGTGTATTTTCAACCCTTGCAGTAGACGATGAATGAGGCTTTAAATGAGCTGTTTTTTGAACGGAGTCTGGTTCAAACACTATCAGCCGGAGTCAGCCAGTGAACAAGCGGATTATTGAATCTATAATTTTGCTGATTTTTAACCAGATTCTGGTTCAGAGACAGATAGGTTCAGTTTAAACTCGCTGGTTGTTGAATACATTCTGCTTTAGTCGCTGTGCTTCTGTTAGATGTATTCAGGCAGTAAATAAATCTTGTGTGAATATTTAAGTTTGCCGATATTTGAACAGACCCTGGCACAGGCACAGATTGTCTTAATGAACGTCCTTCCTTCTTTTGTCCATTTTTACTACGGAAAATAAAAATAAAAAGTGTGATGGTCTAATATACACCGAGTCCGTGAAGGCAGCACAGTGCGGCCTAAACATGACGTCAGTGTATTTTATTTTAATAAAATAAGAAAAAACAATCAAGAACTTTGCTATAAAATAAAACTAAAGCAGCAGGTTTTCTTTAATTTATTTCACGGTCAGAACATTTATTTAAATTAAAATTTAAATAAATAAATAAATAATCGTTTCCGGTTGCTGGGGGCGCTGGACCGAACCGGAAGTGACTGTCAGCTGACCTCCTCACATGACCCGCAGACTCCGTCCGCACCGAGCTGATCCGTCCTGCCCGTTTTCTCCGTTAATCACCGGGACACCTGCAGCTCCGGGATGGCCGGCCGCGGTAAGCTCATCGCCGTTATCGGGGACGAGGACACGTGCACGGGCTTCCTGCTCGGCGGCATCGGCGAGCTGAACAAGAACCGAAAACCGAATTTCCTGGTGGTGGAGAAGGACACGAGCATCACGGAGATCGAGGAGACCTTCAAGTAAGAAGGAAAACAACAACACACGGCCTGGGCCAGAGTCCGTCTAAAAATCATCTCATTTAAAGATTCAGTTATCATCTCATCTGTCTGCTGAATGCGTCTAAAACATACTGACTGAACCAGAGTCCGTCTAAAAATCTGCTAATTTAAGGATTCATGCAGTGACTGACTTCGTCTAAAGCGCACACTATGACTGGACCAGACTCTGTTCAAAAATCTGCTAATTTAAGGATTCATGCAGCCACTGAATACATCAGATGCACACTTAGTCTGAATTAATCTCCTTTAAAGAATAATTTATCATCAAATTCAGTGTCTAAACCAGAGTCCGTTCAATCAGACGCCATATTTAAGGATTCATTCAATGACTGAACACATCTAATACACATACTGTGACTGAACCAGTGTCTGTTCAAAAATCATCTAATTTAAGGATTCATGGCTGAATACATCAACTATACACTGAACCAGAGTCTGTTCGACAAATTGCCGGTTTAAAAATCTGCCAGTGATAAATTCAGATATTAGCCAATTTAAAAATATCTTCTCATTCACTGACCGAATAGATCTATTATTAAAACCACTTTGACTCATATGACTGGAAATATTAAATCAGTAGAAATCTGAAAGGAGTTTGGTGTAATTTTGCACAGTTGTACAAACAGGGAAGTTGTGGCATTCCTCCTCATGAGGTTTAGTTTTTATATTAACTGCCGTATGAAGCTCCAGCCTCATTTCTCTTCACCAGTACAGTGTTAAATGGACAGAACTCTGAATGGAGTTTGGTGGGACATTTTGAAGGCCAAACCAAACTCCATGAAGACAACATCTATTTTTAAGGTACTGTAACCAGTTTTTACCTGGTTTTAGACTAGACTGGTTTTGGATCTGGTTTTAGACTGGTTTAGGATTTTTTTCAGGTTCGTTTTAGACTGGGTTTTGCCCTGGATTTGGATTGACGCCACATTTACACATATAAAAAGCAACACTGAATTGAAGGATGTTTGAATGGAGTTTGGTTTAGTGTTGTACAGCTTCATGAACCCTCACACCAAACTCCATTCAAAAATGAAGCAGTTTTAATGTTCCTTCTTTATAGTATTTCCTTGTGGACATAACTCTGAAGTACTATCTCATGTTTTCTGGTGTTTATATTGGTTCCTGTGTTGACCTTCAGCTGTTAAATGTGTATAAATGTGAATGGACTCTGGCTGACCGATCGTCTTTGCGTCTCTGCAGGAGCTTCTTGGCGCGTAACGATATCGGCATCATCCTGATCAACCAGTTCATCGCCGAGATGATCCGCCACGCCATCGACGCCCACATGCAGTCGATCCCGGCCGTGCTGGAGATCCCGTCCAAGGAGCATCCGTACGACGCCTCCAAGGACTCCATCCTGCGCCGGGCCAAGGGCATGTTCTCGGCCGACGACTTCCGATAAACGGCGTCAACCTGCGACGTTGCTGATGTGTTGTTGTTGTGATTAATAGATGAGCTGTCAGTGTATTGATCATCCTTGTTCTGTGTTTACTTTGTCCTCCTGCTCAGAGCAGCTGATTGATGAACAGTTTCCTCGTGACTCGCCGTCATTCTGTTGTTTTTAGACCAAACCGAGCTGATTCATGTTTACTTCCTCTCAGCTGTTTTCTTTCCTGTTTCTTCCAGATGTGTTAACTTATGAAACTTTAACAGATGTTGGATTCAATAAATTGTTGTTGGTTGTGAAGTGTTTTTGTGTTTGGTCGTCATTTCTGAGCAGAAACATGCGACTGGGCTTTGGACTCGCTGGAGACGGATTCTGCACTTGGCTTAAACTGTTCTGGACTTGTTCTGGACTCGTTTACAGATGGGTTTTTACTGGGCTTTAAACCTGGTTTTGGATTTGGTTTTAGATGTTTTTGACTCTTTTAGACTGGTTTAGTATTTAGTTTGAAACTGGTTTTGGACTCAACTTGGACCTTGTTTTAGACGGGTTTTCGATCTAGTTTAAGCTGGTTTTGGACTTGGTGTTAGACTAGTTTTGGACTCAGGGTTGACTTGTTTTAGATGGGTTTTGACCTAGTTTGAGACTTGGCTTTAGACTAGTTTTAAATAGGTTTTTTTAATGGTTTTAGACAGGTTTCAGATTCATTTTTATTCTGGTTTTGGACTTGTTTCTAGATGGGCCTTTGACATAGTTTTTATAAACTTGGTTTTTCGTCAGATTTTCGACTAGTTTTGGGCTCAAGTTGGACCTGATGGGTTTTACCTAGCTTCAGACTGGTTTTGGACTTATCTGGGGCTGGTTTTGGACTTTCTTCTACCTGGTTTTGATGGGCTTTTTGAGCTAGTTTAGACCTGGGTTTATTCTGGTTTCGTACCTGGACTCTAACGTTCGCTGTAGCAGCTGATCAACATGGACTCTGACTGCACCTGAACAGCTTCAAACAGCAAACTGGAACGTTCTGAGCGTCTGCTGTCCGCTGGACTCGTTGTGTTCTGTGGCCTCCAGTCAGCTGACCTGTTGGGAGGTTCAGGTGTCCAGCGGAGAACCAGCGTGGAGCTCCATCACGTCACAGAGACTCTTTATTTTCCTTTAATCCGTCACCGTGCAGATGTTCGTGACCTCCGATGACAGAACGAACCAACAAACAGCATCGAGGTCGCGGCTGATAACAGAACGTCAATATTGAAACAGCACCGAGGAGCCTCATTAATCGTCCCGCAAACCTTCAGCAAACCTCCAGGTAACCTTCACGCGACCTTCGTCCTTCAGCCGCTGACAGAGTTTGATTTGTGGTTTTAAACTGTGTGAACCTGCTGATGTATAAAAGCTGAGCGTCGGCGAGTCGCCTTCACTCTGAGTGAGGCCTGATCTGGTGTGGATCACCATGACGACCACCACGGCGACGGTGACGATGATGATGATGATGATGATGATGATGGTGGTGGTTTGTGTCTCTGCTGCTTCACTCGGTGGCTCCAGGTGAGTTTCTGCCTCCACAGGTGAGAACAGTGTGTTTAAACGCTGAGACGTTGGTCTGCTTCGTGTCTGCAGACGAGTCGAGACGAACACCACGAGTCCTCAGCGGCTGACGGAGAACCAGGAGAACGTCTCCACCGGGTGAGAACGTCGTTTAAACTGATGGAAACTTTACCTTTTATTTAATTATGCTTTATGAAAGAAAACATCTGGATCATGATCACAGGACTGTCAAGACTATTGTGACAAATACTTTCACAATCACAGGATTTTAAAAAGAAGAATTAAAAGGACAAAGATTTTCACATGAAGCTTCACACGTCCATGTTTATGTATTATATAAAATAATGTTGTTAGAAGATTAGATAAATTCATTATGAAGTCACAGACTAATAAAAACTTGTACTTATGACATTATAATGTGATAAAACTACAAATGTCATAATAAATGTAAATGTGACGCAGATATGGACAATAATTCTTAAACTCTATAAATCAGGTCATCATAAACAATTCAATTTAAATAGTTTATATCTGACAAAAGTTAAAAATGAGATAAATTCAAATAGTAGTTATTATAAATGTGGTTATTTTAGAGTCATGATCTTGTTCAACTAATTAAAAACTGTAATTGTTCAGGACTGCATTAGAAAAGTGTTTGATTTTAGAGGCGATTCTTTCTACAGTTTAAAAACAAAACAGGTTGAAAGGTGAAGATTTTTAGACAGATTAAAGTTCTCAGATGACAGTTTGATTAATATGAGATTAAAGTTGAGTCTTTTTCTGTTGAGCTTCTGTAAAATGTTTCCTGATGAATTCAGAACTTCATTAGAAAAGTGTCTGATTTTAGAGGCGATTCTGTGAAATGTTGCTGCAGTCCACAGAAGAACAGGTTGGAAAAACAAAGTTCTGTGTTCTGTGTTTCAGACTAAAGTCTCATCAGGACGCCAATGAAACTCTGGACGACTCCATCAGGTCAGTTCATGAACGTTCAGGAAACATTATACGAAACTGAAACCGCCTTCATGTCACAGTTTTACATACAAAGCTTCATTAGAAAAGTGTCCGATTTTAGAGGCAACTCTTCTGCAGTCGAAGCTTTAGGAGTTGGGACAGAGGTTGGTGAAGATGAGGATAAAGTTGAGTGTTTTTCTTGTTTTGCTTCCTAAATGCAGAACTTAATTTGAAAAGTGTCTGATTTTAGAGGCGATACTGTGAAACGTTGCTGCAGTTTTAGGACCAAAAAACATGTTGAAAAATAAAAGCTTTTGGTTTCAGTGTTGTGTTCTTCAGACCTGAGCCTCATGAGGACGTCAACAAAACTGTGGTCGACGCCACGAGGTCAGTTCATGAATATTCACAACACATTATGAGTTATCTGTTTACAGACTGTTGATTGTTGTTTCTTGATTCATTCAGAACTTCATTGGAGAAGCGTCTGATTTCAGAGACGATTCTTGCAGCAGTTTTATTATGGAACAAGTTGAAAGATAACGTTTAGACATTAGGACAGACTTGTGTTCAGAGTTTGGGTATTAACAGATTAAAGTTGAGCATTTTTCTATCAACTGTCACTCGACAAATACAAAACGTCGTTTATTTTAGAAACAACACTGTGAAAATGTTGCTGCACTCTTAGAACAGAAGATTAAAATGAAATGTTTTCGTGCTCTGAGATGTTTGGTTATGATGAAAAGAAAGTTTTGTGTTTTTGCGTTGAGCTTCAGTACAAACCCGACCCGCTCAACAGAACCTGGTTCTGTTTTGTTCTTTAGAATCAAGTCTCATCAGGACGTCAACGAAACTCTGGTCGACCCCACGAGGTCAGTTCAGGATGAATGACACAAACACAAAACATCCATCGACATGCTGCAAACTGTTCAGTGTCCTGGTGAATTCAGAGCTTCATTAACAAAGTGTCGGTTCCTGGTGAACATTCAGGACACGTTAAACAAACCTCAAACATCCTTCATGTGTCAGTTTTACAGTCAAAAACATTTTGTTTCTCGACAAACACAGACCTTCATTAGAAAACTATCTGATTTCAGAGACAGTTCTTGTAGTTTCAGAACAGAAACCTGCTGAAAGATGAACGTTTTAATAACGTTTTAATTCTCCTGTTTTTCTTCTCAGAGACTCGGCGTCGAACTCGTCGAGGAACGAAACATCGTTCACGCCGCTCATGTGAGTAAACTCTGTTCTGACCTTTAAAGTCCAGCTGCAGGTTTAAAATCGCCTTCAAACTTCTCTCTGTTTGTTTTCCAGGTTTGTTTTTCCGCTGGACGGCCTGTAAGAGTTTTTTTTTCTCAGTATGTGTTCACACCTGTGGACAGGTGTGTTCACAGGTGTTGGTGAAACGAGTGTTCCTCTCTGTGTTTCAGGGGAACCAGTCAGGAGTACGTCTCTGTTCTGTCACCTTTGACCTCCTACCTCTGTACCGTAATGTGATTGGCTGAGGGAGGCGTCAGTAGGCGGAGCCAAGGAACCTGCTGTTTACCTGTGAAACAGTTTCTGAACGTTATCATGACGTCACTGAGAGACGACAATAGAGTTAAATATATTTAGAAAACCACAACTAGAATGAAACACTGTCAGTTATAAAATATGATCAAGTGAAACAAGACAAATGTAAAAACCTGCAGATGAACTCATTCATCAGGAAACACTTTAAAACTCACATGAAACACGTTTGTTCAGGTTCAGTGAAACCAGAGATGAAGAGAAGCTGCTGATTCTCCTCCAGCTGTCACACTTCACCAACAAGAACTTTATTCAAAAACAGACTTTCTTCAAAAGTCTGATGCTCAACAACAGAAACTTTCAACACATTCAAGTTGAAAAACATCAAGATTCATAAAATTAAAAGACATTAAAATAAAAGAAAACATTAGTACTGATCAGTAATTTGCTGCTTCAGTCTTCGAAGCATTAAATGTTTTTCTTCTTTTTCTTTTTATCAGTATTTTTAAATCAGAAGATGTTTGCAGGTTTTTTTTCATATTTCATTTGTTGTACAAATTATCAGCTTTCTACAAACTGATTCATCTGAACACTCTGATTTAAAACTTAAAGAACATC